TATTGCCTTTACGAATTTCGCGCAAGGTCTTGTACTTGTCGCGACCCTGACGAACATTTTCCCTATGAATCTTGTCCATTGCTGTCTCCTTTGTTTCATCACGAGACTGAGCCAAGTCTTGCTTCAGAGCCTGAAATACAAACATGATGTTTATATAAATAATAATCCGTGGCGTAACAGCCCTCTGAGAGCCAAAGCCGACCAACTGGCTGCTGGCCTCATGTTCACATGCCTAAGCAAAGGTGAACGATCATCCAACCGGATATAGGGTGATGTGTGGTCAGCACGACAAACCCCCAGCCATTGCTAGTTCTCATCGTAGCTCCCCAATTTCCTCATGATGCTGGGTTGGCACCGGTCCCATACACTGGTCAAAAATCTCATGAGAAATTTCTTTCCCCGAGACTCAAACCAGTGCGCATTCCGTATCACCGGTCAGAAGCATGATGCCTCAGACCGTGCGGCTACAGCGCAGGACTGATGTTTTTATTTTAAGATTAAATATTAGCAGGGATACTGTACGTTATAATTTTACTTCCAAAATGAACTTTTCAAAAACACAGAAACATCAACATACGATTTTACATGCACATAAATTCTCTTCTCAAGATGTTTCCACTTTTTAATTGGGTCAAGAACTAAAACAACAAAACCCTGCTTGAAACTAGAAGATATACATGCGTAACATTTAATGGATCAACCGTTGCTTCTTCAATTATGCTGAATCGTTTGCACATAGTTTTGAACCTACAAGATGTCAGAATGACTGTAACCAATAAATGGGAAAGAAATAAGACAGAATATTTTAGGGCACTACAGAGGGACTAAAGAAAAAATTTAAATACCAAAAGTCTAAACAACCAGTCCTCTTACCGAACCTAAGATGAATGTACCACTGCTGAGCTAATTTGCTCAACAACAAAACATGACTTATGTGGCAACATCTCATATATTGACTTACACATCACAATTCAAAAGTGAAATCTTGTAAGCTTGCCTTTAAATGTATGATTAGTTCATTTCCTGTTCAAGGTCTTTCAAGATAAGGATTGTAAACAAAGATGATTATGCAGAATGTTTACTCTAGTCTTACAAGTATTTACTGTTACAGACAGTAACACCTGAAAACCAAATACATTTAACAGACAAGTGAAATGACTTGACTCCATGTCATTGAGCAATTTGGCTTAGTGATAACATTGTACATATTCTAAGTTTCACCCAGGACAGTGGCAACACATTTTGGGTCATACTTTTGGCAAAACAAGTTGCAAACTGTAACTAGTAACAGACTTCTTTGGGCTCCATACACACAATGCACTTATGTATACAACAACCTCACATGGAGATATTTCCTTTAACTCATTTCCTTAAAATAAGTAAAACTGATTAATCAATTTGGTACTTTGAGGTTCTTATCTGTATGTCAGAAAGTGCAGTGAATGGGTATAATGTACCAAAATTCAACGTACCATGGCACAATGGGCTTACTTCAGAACAGACATAATTGTGTAAAATTATTTCCTTGGGCATTATGCATTGGATAAATT